CTCCCCTCGCGGGTCGCGGGATTTTCCTAGGTGCGGGGACAGCGCTCTTCCTCCTCCTCCTCCTCCTCCTCCGCGCAGCACGCGCCACCCATAGCTCCGGACAGCGGAGCAGATATCAGCCCAACACCCCAGGCGCGCGCACCCCGCCATGGACCCCAAGGACCGCAAGAAGATCCAATTCTCTGTGCCCGCGCCCCCCAGTCAGCTCGACCCCCGCCAGGTGGAGATGGTAAGGGGGCTGCGCCCCGTCCGCGTAGCGCCCTCAGCACGCTTCTCTCCGCTCCCCGCCCCCCGCGCAGCCCAGCTGTTCTGCTGGACCCTGCCTGGGTTGCAGTCGGGCGCCCCGCAGGGCGGGAAGTTCGCAGGCGACTCCTAGCAACTTTTCCCCCCTGACCGCTGAGCCGATCTTGGGAGGGAGAATTCCGGCAGTGGGCGTCCGGAGACAGTGCGCTCTTGGGACTGCCCTTTTGGCCCTTACATAGCCCCTCTAGGCTAGTCTTTTTTTTTTCCCACGAGGACAAAGTCACTGTGGTAGCACCCCAGGGCTGCACACAGCTCAGGCGTCTGAGGCTGTCATTTCAACTTCATGGTCTAGATGACCACAGTTTCACCCTATAGGCCTGGTCTGGGATCCCCAGAACCTTGTTCTGATTACTTTCTGCTATCAGGATCTATAGCCACAACCCCAGGGATTTGAACGATCATGGCTTCCTTGGAGGTTGGGAGCCCTACAAAGACTCCAGGGGGAGGTGGTGGAGACAGAGGTCTATACTCCATGACCTAGCAAGGACACTTGTTGCTGAGATGCCACTGGCTCTGAAGACAGCACTGAGAACTAGGCAAAACCCTTCTTGGGGTATTTGGTCGGGGTGGGCTGAAGCCTGGGCCTGAGTAGCTTTTGGCAGCAAAAACTGCTTCAACTTCAATTACCTAGTCCTCTCTACATGTCCCTGGAGCTCAAAGGGGACCTAATTAACTGACAGTTGGTCTGATTGCCAAGCTAGGGTGGGCAAGGAGAACAATTTTACATTTTTTTTTTCATGAGAACTGGGTGAAGAATCCCACAGCTTGAGAAAGACTTGTGCCAGGGGCCCAGACTCCAACCTCTAGAGACCCCAGCAGACCACTGGGTGTCTGGGGCTCGGGTAAGGATGGAGGCGCCTGCACTACTGGGCTCAAACTCCTACAGCTGCTTTGGAGCCCTTAAACTGACCTTTGGTGGGTAAAGCCATAGGTACCTCCTTTAGGGTGTTCAAGGTGGAGTCTTCTAGAGAAGGTTCTGTGGTGGCTGTGCTGTGGGACTATCTGGACTTGGAGTCAGTAGATGATTTTTCCAGTCCCCAGCGTGCTGTGTGACCTTGAACAAGCTGCTAAACCTCTCCATGCCTGGTAGTTTTCATCCCTGTAAAATACAGGGATTGTGTGAGTTGAGTGGGCTCTAGCTACCTTTGATTCACAGGCTCCCCGAGGACTCCAAAGCCTTGCCTCCAGCTGGCTCAGGGTGATGGTAAGGGGCCCTCTACAGTGTTTCTCCTGCCCCCCTCCCTCCATCTCCCTAGATCCGGCGCCGGAGACCAACCCCTGCCATGCTGTTCCGGCTCTCAGAGCATTCTTCTCCAGGTAGGGCCCATTCCCTGCTCTCTACCTCAAGTCTGGTGCCTTTCTGGGGGCCCCCATGAGAGGGGGACAGGCTGGAGACTAGAGATCTGGAAGGCTAACTCTGCTGGGTTGGTTGGTTTACTGGCACCTGTTGGCACCAGGAGGGAAGGGCACACTTCTGCTGTCCCAAAGACTGAGGCTTTGGGGAAAGTAACCTGATTCTTTTTCTCTTCCTCTGTCGTGTTTGGTGTATGCCTGGTGACCTCTCTCAGAGGAGGAGGCCTCCCCGCACCAGGTGAGTTTTCTGAGGCAGGTGGAAGGGCACTTAGCTGGGCCCTCTGGGGTAGGGTGAAGTCTGCAGAGTCAACCCAACACCCGGGCCACCACAAGACACGTTAGCATATCAATGGCATTTCCCTGGGAAGATTCTGTTCTGAGTGTCACCCTTTCTCTGAGTGGCGCTGGGTGGGGTGTCCATGACAGAGGGGTCCCTCTGCTAATGGGGACAGGACTTGGCCTAGGTGTCCCATGCTCAGTCAGCTGTCAGAGTTGTGCCACTGGAGGGAGGCGAAAGGGAAGGGGATCTCTGGGGAACCTATTTCAGCTGCCTCTTCCCTGTAGAGAACCTCTGGAGAGGGGCACCACCCGAAGTCGAAGAGACCCAACCCCTGTGCCTACACTCCCCCATCACTGAAAGGTACTAACCCCACCCCTCCATCTGTCTTGTGGTCTCCTGGAGCCCTGCAGCTGAGCTGATGTAGGGGAGGAAGAGGAAATGTAAGCTGGTGTCACTGTCACTGTCACTGGCAAGGACTGCCACCAAATCACTGCCTGACCTGGGAGACTGGTTTTTTCTTAGGCTCCCAGAGGCAGGGAAAGGGCAGCATTTGTCTTAACAGTAGGTTGAGGGGGGCAAAGGGGAGAGCTGGCTAGCCCCACAGGATGACAAGCATTGGAGTGAAAGATTCTGGAGGTGTATCTACTGGGCCATGCTCACCTCTTGCTCTCCCCTCCAGACCCACTCCTATGTGCAGGTCTGTCTGCATCCTCAGTTAAAGGGTATCACCCCTGTCAGGTATGCCAGGTCTCATTGGTGGGTACTGGGAAAAATAAGATGAGGAAGATTTGGAGGCCCACGGTATTGCTCAGTGGTACAGCACTTAATTGACATGCATAGGGCCCTGGGTAACAGCCCTAATACTGATTTAAAAACCAAAAAATGACAGTATGGTGCCACAGAGGTCTGTAACCTTAGCATTTTTGAGACAGAGAGACAGGCAGATTTCTGTGAGTTCAAGACAAACCTGGTTTATATAGACAGTCCCAGGCCAGCTAGAGTGGCACAGTAAGACTCTGTCTCAGAAAATTAAAATAACTGGCGTGGTGGCACATACCTTTAATCCCAGCACTTGGGAGGCAGATGCAGGAGGATCTCTGTGAGTTCAAGGCCAGCCTGGTCTGCGGAGTGAGTTCTACAACAGCCAAGGATACACAGAGAAACCTTGTCTGGAAAAACCAAAAATTAAAAAAAGCACTCAAACACACACACACACACACACACACACACACACACACACACCATGCTTGGTTGCTCATACCTGTCATCCTTGCACTTAGGAGGCAGAGGCAGGAAAATTGCTATAGACATGAGGTCACCCTGGGCCATACAGTGAATGCCAGGCCAGCTAGGACAACACAGCAAGACCGTGTCTCATAAAGAAATGAAAAATGAGCCATCTGTTCCCTGGCCCCTAGACCCTTGCCTCTAAGGAAGGGCCAGGGAGAGTTTGCTAAAGGGACAAGGCTAAGGCTCATGGGATCAACAGACCAGAAAAGACAGGCAAAGGAAGGAGGTGTGAATCGGGATTTTTGGGACAGTTGGAGACTTGGTTTCTGGCCAGGGAACTGTGGGAGACTCACCTGAAGGAGGAGCAGGTACCCAATGGCCATGCCAAGGGTCTCTTCCTAACTAGGTGCCAGTTGCCTATCACCCCCCACACACACAGGAAGCTTTCCTGCCTGGTCTGTCCCTTCTCTCTCCTCTGAGGCAGTAGATGAGTTTATTATGGTTTCCCAGACCCAGCCAAGGTCAACAGGTGCATCTGGCAGCCCCACCTGCTGACTGGGGACAGAGTAGCAAAGCTGGGAGGTCAGGCATGTTGCTTCTCCTGGAACAGGAAAGTGGAGGGAGGAAGCTGCAGCCAGTGGCAGTATGAACAGACTTCCTGTAGGGACTTGTAGAAGGACTTAAAGCAGGCGTGGAGACAAGTGGCACATTTCCAAGACAGAGTACAAGAACTTGGCCTCGAGACTGGGGAGGAGAGAGCTTGGGCAGCACAACCAAAGCCCTGGGTTCCATCACCAACTTACACACCTGTAAGCCTGATACTCAGGAGGTAGAGTTCGAGGATCACAGGTTCAAGACCATACTCAGTGAGTTTGAGACTAACTAGGGATATATCAACAAACTCTGTCTCCACTCTAGGCTGGGCGGATGTGAGGGGGGAGCAGTCCCCGCCCCTGTGGCTTTTGGGGAGGTGCTGGGGTTGGAAGCCAGGGTCTTACACACTAAACACACAGTGTAATGCTGAGCTCCAGCCCCCAGTTCAGTCCTCCCTGGCTTTAGTTACGTACTTTGGGAGTGTGCTGAGGTAAGAGTTTAGGGGCCATGAAATTTCTTTCTTTTTCTCTTTTTCTCTTTGGTTTTTCAAGACAGTATTTCTTTGTGTAACAGCCCTGGCTGTCCTGGAACTCACTTTGTAGACCAGGCTGGCCTTGAATTCACAGAGATCCACCTGCCTTTACCTCCTGAGTGCTGGAATTAAAGGTGTGCCCCATCACTGACCAGTGGCCAGGAAATTTCTTGCGTACCAAAAGATGACCTAAGACTTACCTGCCCCTGCTTCTGGGGACTAAGTCTGGGTAGAGAGAGACAGGGTTGTATAGAGGAATCAGGAGAGGGCTGTACTGGGATTCTTCAGTCTTGCAAAGGAAGACCTGGGTTGGCATGGGGTTAGGCTTCCAGACATGGAGAGGTAAGAGGAGAGGGTGTGGTAAGGAAAGCATAGATTCAAGAAGGCCCAGTGAGGCATGAGAGACTGAGTAAGGCAAACGGGACCTCATGGGGCACCTGCACGGGTGGGCGCTGCACACACCTATCATCACAGCTTCGGATGGATCACGAACCAGAACCAGCTCTCCTCCCCCGACTGCCTGCCTGCCACCTCCTCTCCCCCAGCCCAGAGGCACCAAGATGATTCTGTTTGGCAAGCTTAGCCCTTTCTGGGCAAGGGCAAGTGTCTGGCAGGGTTTGGGTTTTGTAGGACAGGACTCAAGAGTCCTCTATGAAGGGTGAACAGCACTAAGCCTCGGGGGAGCAGGGGGTGGGGGTTTAAAGGGTGCTCCTAGGTCAGGGCTCTCTCAGTTGGATCAAGGTGAAACTTTGCCGGTTTCCCAAGGCCAGGCAGGGCAATTTATTGCGATTTTATTGCCTGAGTAGCTTGCCCACAGCCAGCGGGAAGAGGTAGATTTGGAGCTGGGGGCAGGGCGGGGCATTGGACACACACAATGAGCCCTCTGTGCCTGTCCCTGAGTTGGCAGGAGTTCTGGGCCCTGCTCCTGCACCGGAGGTTTCCAGCCTACCCCCTGGGCTGCTAAGGGGAGGGGCCACTGTTGGATTAAGAAGCCAAGGAGCACTGACCACTCCAAAGAGTCTAAGCAGGGGCCTGTGAACTTAGTGTCCCAACTACTCTAAAACCTTGAATGCCCCTGGTCCCTTGCTGACCCTACTCTAGTCTTTTGTTTTGTTTGAGGGGGGGGTGTTTATGTAGCTCAGGCTAGATTAGACCTCACTATGTAGCTGAGGATACATTTGAACTCCTGATCCTCCTGCCTCTACCTTATGGATGCTGGGATTACAGGCCTCTGCTAGGGACTCTGTATGCCAGGCAATCAGTCTACCAACTGAGCTACACCCCCAGTCCCTTCATCCCGGTCTTAACCCAACAATGTTCCTTCAAACCTTGCCATTCCCCAGAACCCCCAGCCCATCCCTTTCTCCCCCCCACCCCGCCCTGTTTCCATCTTTGGGAAGCCGCCCACACTGTTCCTTTCCTAGGTTGCATCTGAGCAGGTCTTCGTGGTGGTGGTGGTGGGGTGTTGCTGCTTTCTGGGTCACCGCAGAGGGAGCCGGGAGATTTAGGGATATGGGTCAAGATGGTGAGGGCTGAATGGTCCATTTGCCCAGCAAGGACTTCACTGGCTGCAGAGTGCTGTGACCTCAGGCTTGGGTTTGTTCGTGCTTTGGGAGCCTGGGAGAGAGGTGCAGTTTGGTATCTAACTCTGGGCAGCAAAGCACAGCAAAATGTATCTTCCAGTGTCAGGAAAAAATGGCTCTGGCCCATAGGCCTTCCACCTTCTGCCTGGGGTTAGCACTGGTAGATTCTCCAGTCCTGGCCACCTGGCTGTATAAGCTCCTTGGCCAGAGAATGTTAAGCTGTCACTGTGCCGGCCTGGTCTTGCCCAGCCAGGTGCCCCGTGGTGCAGGGGAATTTTCTGGTGCCAATTTCTGGGGGTGGGGTGAGGAGCAGCATCTTGAAACAGCTTAAGAGCCAATAAGATCACATGTACCCCCTGGTGCTCCCACCTTGTTTGGACAACCTTCCCCCTCCCCAGTGGAGTGAACTGGGGCCCTTTACCCTTAACCGGGGGCCCCTTGGAGCATCGCCTCTAGCTCAGCTGTGTGCACAGGCTGCTTCCGCAGCTTGGCTGACCCTGGCCTCCCTGTGTCCTCTCTGCCAGCTGTGCAACGCATTGCGGAGTCACACCTGCAGACCATCAGCAACCTGGGCGAGAACCAGGCCTCGGAGGAGGAGGATGAGTTAGGGGAGCTTCGGGAGCTGGGGTACCCAAGAGAGGATGATGAAGAAGAGGAGGATGAGGATGAAGAGGAGGATGAAGAGGAAGACAGCCAGGCAGAAGTCCTGAAAGGCAGCAGGGGAACTGGTAAGCTGAAGGGGCTGCCGTCGGTCTGTGGTTTCTGTTACTGTGGGTCAGGCATGGCTCGTCCAGAAGTATCCAGTGATGTCCTTCTAAGGCCACCTTTGGAGACCTGGCATCACCTAGCCTTGGTTAATCCTTCACCTGATTAGGTTTTCCCCACTGTTCATCTCTTTCTAAAAATTAAGCCTAGGTATAGGACATTTGAAGCGAGACCCCAAAAAAGAACTTCCTATCCATGGAAGCGAATTGTAAGAAGGTTCAGGGATAAAGAGAGCCCAGCATTCCCTTTTCTGCACTTCTGAATCCCATGTTGTGTTTCGGAGGCTAGCTGATTTGCCCCCTCCAGGACCCTGGAGACTGTCTTTTTCCTTCCTAGGATGGGGTGGGAGAGTGCCCTCTAGTGTCCAGATGTTGAATCAAGTATTTAAGAACCAATCTGGTCCATACCCTACTCTAACTTAGAGATAAGGCCCCTAATCCCTACAAAGAAGGCCTCAGAACCAGAAAACCCACAGACACGCAGATAAATTGGGCAGAACCTCATCCCCTCCTATGGTTGTAGCTTCCACGCCTGGCCACAGAGGCTATGCTCATCTAACCTGGTGCAAACATTAAACTTTTAGACTCCCCCCTTTTATGTTTGTTTATTTATTTATGTTCTATGTGCATTGGTGTTTTGTCATGGGTGTTGGGTCCCCTGAACTGAAATTACAGACAGTTATGACCTGCCATATGGGTGCTGGGAATTGAACCAGGGTCCTTTGGAAGAACCGTCAGTGCTCTTAACCATTTCTCCAGCCTGTTTTTTTTTTTATTTTTTTTTAAGATTTATTTATTTATTATGTATATAGTGTTCTGCCTGCATGTCAGAAGAGGGCACCGAATCTCATTATAGATGGTTGTGAGCCACCATGTGCCATGTGGTTGCTGGGAATTGAACTCAGAACCTCTGGAAGATCAGTCAGTGCTCTTAACCTCTGAGCCATGTCTCCAGCTCTCCCCTCCCCCTTTTTCCTGTTTTTTTCCAGAGAGGGTTTCTCTGTGTAGCTCTGACTGTCCTAGAACTCATTCTAAAGACCAAGCTGGCCTCGAACTCACAGAGATCCGTCTGCCTTTGCCTCCCAAGTGCTGGGATTAAAGGGGTGCACCACTGCCGCCACCTGACTTGGACCCATTTTTTTTTTTTTATGGGAATGACAAGCAGTCTCCCACTTAAAGTGTTCAGCCTTTGGGCCCAGACAGGATGACTTGAGTCTCCTCTCTGCATCTCTGGCTGTGAGGGTGTGAATGGGCTGCAAGGGCTGAGTGAGCCTCCCTATGAGCATCCCCTCCCAGAACAGGAGGAAAATGGATAAGAGATGCTCCCTCAGGAAGGGGAAGAAGTCCCTGAGTCACATGACTGGATCACCAAGTAGCAACATTAACTCCCACAACTCCTGAGTGACTCCAGGGTACCAGATCTGGTTGCTTTTTCTGGTTTGTTTGTTTTGATTTGGTTTGTTTGTTTTAGGTAGGGTTTCACTCTGAAATCCAGGTTGGCCTGAATCTTACTTATGTATCTCAGCCTGACCTTGAACTCAACGTAATCCTCCTGCCTCAGCCTCCTGATTTGGGTCATTACTGGCATAAGCCTCCACACCCAGCTTCCCAGTAGGTATAATCTTATCTAAGGTTATACCTATCTTTTTACATAATATTTCCTTCAGAAAAGTGCCCATGAGCTAAGTCATGTGGCCAGTCATAGGGAGAGTTGTCCAGTCCAGTGTTCCACCCATTGTGTGATGATGCTTTGGAAGCTTGGCCTCAAGCCACCAAACATCACTCATGCTGCAGGGCACCAGATGGACACTCAGGCTGTGTTTGCATGCCCTCTTTTCCAGTGGGGCAGAAGCTAACTTATGGCCAGGGTCTGGAGGGGCCCTGGGAGCGCCCGCCTCCTCTGGATGAGCCCCAGAGAGATGGAAACTCTGAGGACCAAGTGGAAGACAGAGCAGTGCTAAGTGGTGAGCTTTGCAGAGTGGGGTGGGGAGGTGGACCTCGTTGACTAAGCCAAGCCTTGAGCCTTCTCTACTTGTCTTTCAGAGCCCGGGGAGGAGCCTCAGCGCCCTACCCCTCCTGAGCCTGGCACATAAGCTCAGAGTCCTGCATCTCCAGGAGGAAGTGCTCCCCAGAAACCCACTCTGTCCCCACCCTACTTTGTACCCTTTCTTTCACCTGCTAGGGCTGTGGCTTCTGACTTCTTGAAGACTAAGGCTGATCTATGTTTGCTTTGGCTGAAGCCCAGAGTCCTGATGCCTCTCCCTGCCAGTCATTCTACTATTTACCCGGTGGGAGGGGGGAGGAGAGTGGGAACCCACACTGGAAAACTCAGAAGGCCAGAGACAAATATTCACGATTCACAATTCTCCTCTCCAGATTCACTCCCCTGGGAGCAGGAGACCCATGGGGCAGGACCCTAAGATTTGGAGAAAGGAGGTACTGAAAACCTGCAAGTGCCCTGAAATCTCCTCCATCCCTTCTTCCCACCCCTCTCAGACTTCTACAGGGTCCAGGTCTCAAGCATTCTTTTCCACAGCGTCAACATTTTGGATGTCGCCCCCTATTGTCCTATTTCTGCTGGGTGCCTGCAAGTCGGACTGGCACATGCTGCTTGTTGCGTTCATTTATGCTTTGGTCCCAGGAATGCCACTTAGTATATGTCCTTAGAGGTGCCATACAGTGGGGGGAGCTTGGTTCTTCTTGTCTTCCAGCTGCTTGCCTCTTTTCCTTTTTCCCTGACTCCAGGCCTGAACTCCTCCTGTGCTGTAATAAATCTTTGTAAATAATTGTCCTGAGACTCCTCTTTCAGGGGAGGGAGGAGAGACCGGAAAGTAATGACATGTCCTGACAGGGAAAATGGTGGTTATCCAAGGGTCAGGATGTTGACCCTGGTGTCCAGTCCTCCCCAGGAGCTTTTCCTGCGTATAACAGGCATTAAGCATGAGAGACATACTAGCTCCTGAGGGAGATGGCTAAAAGAGGAAGAACAAAAGTCCTTTAAAAGTGTGTGATGGATGAGGGATTACAGGTGCACGTCTGTAATCCCAGCACTTGGAAGGTTGAGAGAAACAGGATTCTGAGTTCGAGGCCAACCTGAGACTCTGTCTCAAAAACCAAAAAATGTTTTTCACCAAGGGATCTGTACCTACAGATCGCCCCTCCTGCCGTTCCTTTTTACTCCAGGCCTGTGGTCCAAAAACGATGACACCCTGGAGTTCTTTGGCGTTCCTGAATGCTCTTTCAGCCAAACTGGCACCCGACTTCCGCCTCTTGTCTGCGAGGCTCTGGGTAGAGAGGGGCGGGACTGGGGCGGAGCTGCAGGTGCACACCATTCCCGGGTTGCTTTTGGGGGGCGGGCTCAGCGGCGGAAGTTGCGCCGCTGGGAGGTCTCCTTCCGCTCTGAGGAGTTGCCTGGGCCGTGGAGCGGGACTGCAGCTGAGGCAGGAAGAGTGGGGGCCGTGGTGACATGAAGCAGGTGGGTCCTGCAGCGGTCGCCGGGGCCGGGTGATGGAATGAGAGCTGTCTCAAGCCAACGGAACTCACTTCCCTGCCAGGTGTCCGTCTTTGGTTCGGTCCGACCCTTCCCACACCCCTCGCGCTCCGGGTTCCGCCCCCTTCCTCTCTGCGGGCTGCTGCTGCGCGCGCGGGGTTGGGGAGGGGGTGTTTCGTCCTTACCCACCCTCGGGGGCCAGGGAGGCATCCGTGGTCGCTTTCCTAAGCATTCCTCTTTATAGCGAGGGGAGAGGCGAGGGGCTGGTATCTGAGTCTTAAGGGGCAACGGTTGGGTGTTGGAAGAGGTCAGAATCAGAAGGAGAAAAACACTTCACGACAGTCTCTGCCACCCGCTGTTTTCTCCAACTTCAGTTGGACACATCCACGAATAACTTCCTAGAGATATCAGAAAGGTCCTTTAAACTTTTCTTGATTCCTCATAAGTGCCTATTACCGTTGGCTCTGGTTCCTGATATGCTCCCACTCTTTGACTCCCCTGTATTTCCTGATTTTTTTTTTTTTTCTTCCTACCTCTCTGGTAAGAGATCAGAAGTGCCGCTTTACATTCTCTCTGGCCCAACCCTTCCTCTGCACTGATTTTGGATGCCCTCATCCACTGTAGTAGCTTCAGGTCCTTGTTCACTGATTATCCAGATTGACAAGGCCAGCACAGCCCTTTCCAGGGTCTCCAATTGTCTGTCTGTCCAGCTGCCTGTGGATGGAGCTTGCGTCTTTTAAACCTGAGTGATTTTTACTCTGTAAATTCATTCTTCTACTATTGTCTTATCCCAAAGAAAAACTCCAGAATTGCCTTACATCCTTTACCCTCAGTTTGCCCAGAGTTGTCAGTACAGCTGACTTCCTGAGCCTTCTCTGTTACCACTGTTGTTGACAATTTCTCACCAGTCCCAGAAACTTATGGTCCTAACTGCTTGCAGCCTAGTCTCCAAACTCTAGCTCTTGCAAATTTTAAATCACAAGTCTGATTGTGTCATTTCCTTCCTTATGACCTCTTGCTTGCTTCCCATTGCCTGTGGGGAAAGGCTGAACCCCTAAAATGATTTAGGGGAGCACTCTGACCATGTTATTCACTGTAAATCTCAACAGTATGGTTCTGTAGGATGTGCCTGGTGCACAGACGATTCTTGTCTCCATGCCTCTGTACACATTGGTACCTCTTTCCTCTCTGATCGCTGGGCTTCCTGCTCAGACAGCACCATCTCCACCCCAAAGGTTGGAGGACCCTCTTGTGTTTTCTGAACACCCTTAGCATCGTGGCTGAGGATATAGACCCCTGTACCAGACTACTTGGGTTCTGATATTGTTTTGAGGCCTTGATGAAGTCAGAACCTCACTTTTGGAAAAATGGAGAGAGTAATGTGTCTACCTTGTAGAATTGTGAGGATAAATGAAATAGTGTTAATGCATAAAACATTAACTGCCAGGCCTATGAGTGCCCAGTAAGCACACATTAATTAACATGACTTATATAGGAACACTCTAGTTCACTGGTTATGACTTTTAATTTCATAAGCTGCTTGAGAATGACTGATGGGGCTAACTTCTCATTCTGTTCCTGTGTCCTAAATGAAGTCTTGGACTGGAAAGTTCTGGGAACAGAGTCTGGATTTACTGAGTAAAGGTTTAGGGGTGAAAAGGACCCAGGCTTCTTTGATTTCCAGCACTGCAAAAAAACAAAAACCAATAAAATTTATAAAAGTTGGTGGGAGTGGTGAGTTTGGGGGGTCAGAGTTAGCTGGAGATGTGGTTCAGTAGAAGAACATTTGCCCAGTGTTCATGAGACCCTGGGCTGCAGTTCTAGCACTGAAGAAAGCAAAGCCCCAGAGCAGATGTGATTCAGTCTGCTCAGGAAAAGAGAGGATACATACTACATGACAAGCTCTCATTCTGTCCAGAGGACTATACAGAGAGCTCACATACTGCATGGTAAGCACTCATTCTGTCCAGAGGGCTATACAGAGAGCTCTGAAAGCCTGAGGGCGAGAAAGGCCAGGTGCTGCTTTTCAAATGTGATGACGAAATGAGAGGCCGAAAAGCAGAGGGTGAATTTAGTAGCATGCAGAGACCATAGGGGACTCAGAGGAGTGGTGTAGAGACCAAGTGGACTCCCAGAGAAAGGAGAGCTGGTCCTCTGGAGTGATTCCTCTCCATGACGGGCTATGAGGAAATGTCCCCTTGACTTAGGAGTGGGAAAGGATGATACCATGGGGATGTCTAAAATGTTGGTGTTTTAGGTCATTTTGAATGCATTTGGGCCAAGTCCTGCATTTGACCAATGTCTGGGCCCGTGTTGCTGTACTTTTTAAAGAATTTTTTTGGTTTGGTTTGGTTTGGTTTTTTGAAACAGGTTTCTCTGTATAGCTCTGGCTGTCCCGTGACTAGCTCTGCAGACCAGGCTGGCCTTGAATCTAGAGATCCGCCTGCCTCTGCCTTTGAAGTGCTGGGATTAAAGGGTGTGCAACCACGCCCAGCTTTTGTTTTCTTTCTTTTTTTTTAATTTTTAAAATTTTATTTTATGTGTGTGAGTGTTTTGTATGCATGTTTGTCTGTATACCGTGTGCATCACAGGCCCATGAAGGTCAGAAAGAGGGTGTTGGGTTACCTGGCAGTGGAGTTAAGGACAGTTGTGGGTGCTAAGAATCAAACCTGGGTCCCCTGCAAGAACAAGTGCTCTTGACAAGTGAACACCCCTCCACCCTCTGTTGCTCCTTTGCCCATCCTCCTTTCCCCCTCCTGAGGCGGATTCTCCTAGGTCTCAGGTAGTCCCTCTTCCCTGTGGCTTCCCTGACCTCTTACTGCAGCCCCAGGCAGATGCTTCCTTCTCTGGGAGACATGGGCCCTTGTTCATTCATTTCTGAAAATGCTCCTCACATCAGGCCAGTCTTTCTCATGATACCTGGTGACCATGATAGACTGAGCCAGTGTCTGCTGCACTGCGGCTCTCCTGTGTCTTGCCATTAACTGAGCTCTCACACCTGGGCCCACTGGAGGATTGCTGTGTGGCTTGACGGCTCACACTATCCTACTGAATGCAGAGTGCTCCCTGCCTCCATTCTACAGATGAAGAAGCTGAGCCTTTGGGGGAGGTTGGTTCAAGGTCACTCGGTAGAGATTTAAAGACTTTTACCTTCATTTCAATGCATAGCTATGCACCAGCATCCCAGAGAGCAGCTGGCACGTCAGTGGGGCAGAGGACAATGGAGAGCCATTTTGTGAGTTCTGTGTCCCTCTCAAAGTTTTCTGGCTAGAGTGAGGCAAATGTAGGCCTTTGTCTGGGAGGAGCCTGCGCAATCAGGCCTGTTTTTGAGAGAGCTGACAGCTCTATGACAGACACTGGCCCTTTCCAGACTGACTTTGGGAACTTGACTTCTTCAGCCTCAGTTTTTACCCAGTATCACTAAAGAACGGAGTGTGACTCACCAGCCCAGGAGGGCCAGAGGTCACAGAGTCACTGAGCTAGGGGCATTCTGGCAGGGCAGGATTGGGGGAGGGGGCGGTGAGCAAACCTGACATGTGGTTGAGCTTTCCAGTTACTGTACTTCGTGGTCAGAAACCGCGTCTAGAAAGGAGTGGCTATTCCTGTGCTAGCCTGCGGCTTCTTCCTACTTACCCCAAAGGAAAGGGGAAACAAACGGAATCCTCTTTGGCTTTGCAGTCGTGTATCTCACTGCTGCTGTATGCCCTGTTCCCTTAAACTTCCACTTCCCCAGGGCCAGGGAACCTCCCCAGCCCTCTGTAGGTGTGTGGTTATGGAGCAATAAGTCACTTGTTCCTAGACTGAGGGCAGGAGTCACCGAACTGGAGCACCATCCCTGCTAAGCTTCCTAAGGCAGAGTCCTCCTGTCCAGTAGCCAGGTGGACCTTTAATTTGGTCACAGTGTCCTGCTGCATATGTCTGGCCCAGGGCCTTGCATTGTGTGGTAGCAAATGGTAGGGGGAGCTGTCATTTATTTATTTATTTATTTATTTATTTATTTATTTATTTATTTTTAAGACAGGCTGCTCTGTGAAACAGCTCTGGCTGTCCTGGTACTCTCTTTGTAGATTAGGCTGGCTTCAAACCCACAGAGATCCGCCTGCTTCTGCCTCTGGAGTGCTGGGATTAAAGGCGTGTCCCGCCACCACCCAGCCTTGCGGGGCTGTCATTAATTGAGCACAGGCACCATGCAGGTGGAATTTCTCATTCCTTTAAGCCCTGTTAAATATATACTCTCTGAGCAGAGCAATAGTGGCACACATCTTTAGTCCCAGCAGTCAGGAGGCAGAGACAGGCAGAACTCTGTGAGTTAGAGGCCAGCCTGGTCTACAGAGAGAGTTCCATTTTACAGAGAAAGAAACAGGATGAGACTCAGTGCCTTGGTCAATGACACACAGCCTAAAGGAGTAACCTTGGGCTTTTGATTTCAGGTCCAATGCTGACCCCAGACTTGGTCCCTCTGCAGTGTCAGGCAGACCTCACACATCCATAGAGCAGCTTACTTAATAGATAGTCTGTGGCTTGCCACTGTGAGCTGGGCAGCCAAAGCTTGGGTCTGCTACAAGATACGGGTAGTGCTGACCTGGAGTCCTGAGGTCAGAGGAGCCTAGATGGAGATCTTTGCCTAGGAGGTAACATTTGAACTTGTCTCTGAAGGGGAGGAGCTCTCTGCCAGGCAGTGGAGGAGGCTGTTCTGGAACGAGGAAGTAGGAGTCTGCTGTGCTGTGTTTGGGAGCAGCCCACAGTCATGTGGGGTCAGTTATTAAGCCCCATGTCTAGAGAAAACTGTGAGGGTCTTTCCTCCCTCTTAATATTCCTTATCCAAGGGATTTAACTCACCCAGGGCCTTTTCCTTCCATTGTCATAGGGCATGGCTGGGAAATGAGTTCCCTTGTTAGTTGTGGAGGAGTTGCCTGGGCTCTGAGCAGGGCAGAATGCCAGATGGCAAGATCCAGTTTCAGGAAGGTTGCTTTGAGGGCTGGGCA